GGAAAGAGTAAGCTGAACTCCTTGTTGTGTCAGTCTGGATTGGGTAACCCCCATTTAAAGCTTTCCAAGGACTCTCTTCTGAAAACAAAAAAGGGATACAGGTGAAAGATGCAAAGGAAAAAGCTTAATGTAAAACTGTGAATCAAACTCAACTTAGAAAGGATGAGCCACAAATACCCAGCTCTTAATCAAAATTGCACACTATAGTTACATATTCATTTTAAAAAGGTAGAAAATTCCAAAAATATGAAGACCAAAGTCTTTCAGGAGCCAATCCAGGCATTCCAGTATATATGTAACTTGTTAATGTTTCTTCCTGTATACCGAAGGACTATCACACTGTGAATCTTAGCGAGCAACAGGGACAGCTTCCTTACCTGCTTCCTAGTGCATAGCATATACCACAACTGAAACCTGTAACAATGAACAACCTACGGTACAACCGAAATGGATTAATAAGTAATGTGAGAACCCATCAGGGAATTATTTTTTTTAAATAAAAGAGCATGATAATCTCTTCATAGACTGCTATCCTTCATTTGGCTGTTATGCTTTTCTATTATGGATACCTTACTAAAGAAAAGTTTCAAAGAGATAGGCATTCACATTCTGTGGTGTGAAAAGCTTTACTTTAAATTAGAAACAGTATAAAGTTAAATCAGACTGCAGATTGTGAATATGAGCCAAAAAAGGAAACAGTGAAGGAAAAAAAAAAATCTTAATTCAATGCATAAAATAAAGTGAGTATCCCTTAAGAGCCTCCTGCAAGTTTTACTGTGAATACAGACATAACCCGCAGTGCACAACTTCTCATCTGAAGTGGCAATGCTGGGTTAAAAGCAGTCTGCCAGCGAAGCTTCTCACTCTTTTGTAAAGCGTTTCTTTGAGAACATTCTGCACATTTTACAGCTGTTCCTCCACATTATACAATGAAGTGTAAGAAGAACTACAGCAGACTTTGGATTTGCAAATTGAAAAGCAGCAAAACTGTCGGCCAGTTAACAGTACTTCATGCTTGGTTAGAAAATTTGCTAATTTAAACCAATTAGCCAAGTAAGTTTCACTTATCCCAGCTTTAAAGAAAGAATATTTAAAATACCAGGTTTTTGCCCTATGTCTATTTTAAGAACCTAGATATAGCCTAAACATTAAATACTTGTATATTCTTACAGTTGGCTCCCTAAACTAAGTTTTAAAGTAATCAACAGATAAAAGATTTGCTGAGTAGCTTTAAAAGTTGCAAACTGAAATAATTGTACATGTTCCATGCCCAAAGTATGTCATGGATTATCCTGTTTATTTGGATCGTATTTAAAGAACACCCTATTGTCTCAAAATCATTTAACTGTGCAGACAGCTGGCCTATTCAAACAACATGTTTTATTAGAATTCCTCTGTCCTTCCTCCTCCATTCTTTCAGATGGGTACAACCACATACTGTGCTTTGCCTTAAGCATGTAAGCTCTTCAAGGCAGGGACCATCCATAATTCAATGCAAGTAAAATAGCCAACACAATGGGATCCAGATAATGTTTGAAACTCCTAGCATCTACTGTAGGACAATTTGCTAGCTTGGACTGGCCTGATTTTTAAAAATCCTTAGGAAGCTTTCTGCCAGGTTGGGAAGTTAGTTTAAAGTTTACTGTAAAAAAAAGGTCAAGAGTTGCACATGTGTTTTAATTGTTTACATGGTAATGATATTTAAGATAAAATACCATTGCCCTTTGAAACCTCACACAAAGCAAGATTCACATTTTACAGGGAATCCCACTGAGCAAATAAAAATCCTCCAAGACACAACAGAACATGCAAAATTTCAAGTCCATCCCTTAATAAGGCAGTACAAAGTTTACATGACCAGTAAGTGGCATTTTTATTTTTGCTAGATGCAACTTACTCTTATTCTAATAGGACCAAGGGACGAAAAGAAAATAGTGCTTGTATGAAGGCACTGGACTTCAACTTATGGTTTGCATCATGCTGGATATTGTATGTGGCAAAGCATATAAGAAGGTATATACATATGTGAGAGCTTTCTGCTAGCTGAGAAACCTAGAGATGTTCAGCACGAAAAACAGCATTGCTGTGCTTCTGTACACCATAGCAGATATTGAACCAAAAAAGAAAAAAAACGTGTTACAAGGGCTTTTACTATGCAAAGCAGATCACAAGTACAAAACTAATAACCAGCTATTCCCAGTATTGTTCAAAGACCAGCTTAAACCAGCAGGCTCTACAACAGCATGCTCCATCCCCCTCACCTTATTTACAAAAGAAAGACTGCTTGCTATACCAATTACCTCAGTAAAACACAGCTAAGGTTTCTGAAGAACTTACCGTTGATGTCGAAAGGGAACAAGCTGCCACTTTTGTTCAGCTTCTCAGATGAGTACTGAAATCAATCAGAAAAAAGAAGTTTTAACTGTGTGAAAGAGTTAGCATACACCTCAAGGAAACTGCTTGCTGTTTTCAGTTTCCCTATATGTGCATTTAACAATGTCTTTAAAAGGACAGGGTTTTGCTGAGTATCTTGAAGAAATTCCTGAATAGGTGATCTTTAAATAAAACCTCTGGTATCTAGCTATTTGTAATATTTTCTGACATATTGCTAAGTATCGAACTGTTTCAAGAGTTGCAACATTAGCCCATATGAGTAAACTGCAAAATTCAGATCGATAATTCATGCCTAATGAAAAGGCTTTGATCCAATTTTCGTTTCAGTGGAGAGGACATTACAACCTGACAACTGGGTTTCCAATGTCAAAGCTAAAAAGCAAAACAGTTCATCTTAAACTAAGAGACAGGAATAGCTTTATCTAAATTAAGTATACAAGCTCCTAAGGATCGCCACCATGAACACTGTCCCAAGAAGGCTTTACCAATATTTTACATTTTCTTAGAATCAGTGTAGCAAAATGTGTTCTTATTTCTTAAAAGTACGAAAGCCAATAAAAAAAGTTTTCCTATCCAAAAATCAACTTTTTCAGACTGACAGTTTTTGAAATCAGTTTTTTGGTAATGGTTCACTGCTCAGAAAGAATGTAAGAGCCATGCTTAAAGCAAGGTTTTTGTGTAAAGGGCTTCAGAATTTATGATTAAACTTGATCAGTAGCATCTACACAGTAAGACATGTTTGTGTGCAGGACCATCTTCTATTTTAACTTATTTTACCTAGAAAATATGACTACAAAAGCATTCCTAAAGGGTCGAGATTTCTCAGACAAAGAACAGAGCCTGCTATCCAGCCTCCTATAAAGGAGTTATAAATAAATGGTTCAAGGCTCCATCAGAGCCCAAGGGTCATTATTTATTCCCCTACCTCCACCCCAGGATGGAGAGGAAGATTGCTTCAAAAGAGAGCAACACACTTTATGTGAACACTGTTTCTTGCACATAGCCAAAGAAGATAGCATCATACACACACTTCCTTTCCAGCTACAAAGTCAATTTTTAAACAAACATCCTTGGGCTACAAAGCTTTTCTTTCTTACTGTATAGCAGCACACAGAGTGCTAGTGACAACTTTATATCCTTGAGCCCCACACAAAAGATACACACACTAAGCTATGGTAATATTCCCTTAGTGTTATTGTTTTAGAGGTAGGAAGTAATGGAACAGATGAAAGGATAGGATAGTAATCAGATTTTTAAACTTATGCAGACATTGATAAAAAAACCTATGAGACAAGCCATTTGATTTTACTTTACACTTGCATCTGTAGATGCATTTCTTACTTAAAGTAGCCTTCAAGTTAACAGCAGAACTCCAAGTTTGAATGTCCATAGGATTTGCAGATTATTAGCCTTATTCAAACCATCTGAAGTCTGCAACTTGACAGCAGGAGCAGCAGCCACTTTTACTAGTTTGCTTTTCATAACTGCAGTTACCAGCTATATAGTATACACATTAAAAAAGCTAGTATCAATCGTTTAAACATCTATTAGGGTATCCTATACAACAAAAGAGCACATTAAGATAACAGTAATAGTTACATTTCAGCTGTCCCTGAACGGGAAACAAACCAAAGAGACTTAAAGATAAGGTTTTTCAGTAAATTCCTCCCTCTCCAGTTTTCCCCAAATGAAAGGTCATACCAACCTATTCAACTAGCGTCCTATTTTATGGTTGGACTTGATGATCTTTGAGGTCTCTTCCAGCCATAATGATTCTATAACTACCAGATAGTAGCCAAGGAAGATACATTTTTAGAACAGAATTCTGTGTCAAAAAACTGTTAAAGCTAATGTATCTTGGAACCACATGGCAAATGGCAGTAAGAACAACTTATCATAACATAATAATTAGGAATGCTTAAAAGATTATTCACACAGGCTAAGATCTTCGATGTTGAGAACAAACAAAACCTCAAGGACAATCCCATGTGACAATTACTATGATACTAAGATTTTACCAATAGCTTTCAGCCAAATGCACCCTTAACAATGTTCTCTTCACAAATGCCTGAGTTATTTGATTACCCACACTTCAACCACCTTAAAAAGTCTATCAGGTAGAGACTAAACTACTACATCTTTGACAGCTGCAAAGCACTGAAAGCATTTTTCAAGGGGGGCATGGAAAAAGTGGGATCACATACACACAGACTATCTGTACTATAGAGAACGACTGCAATGTTCTCTAACACAGATAGCAACCCCATCCTTCGAGCTATTTCTGATCAGCTTCTAGTGAAGTCAGTGCTCAGTTCTATGACAAAGCAGACATCCTACCACTAGAACTTGTTCTCTTTAGTGAACATTTATACCGAATCCTGTTAAGTTACAAAAGAAGTGCTAATTCTTTGGAGATTCAGATCAAAAACCCTCACTAAGAGCATCACACATGACATCATATGCAGAAAGGGACAGAAAGCTGCACTACTTCCAGTAAAAGCTCAAGGCACTGAAACAAGGGGTGACTAAGGAGAGAATAAGCAAAGAATCTCCTCTATGATATATACTTGGCTTTCTAGAACTGGAACTAAAAATACTTGGAAACACTATCTGGTAGTGTATTTTAATGATATCTGGAAGTCCAAACTTGAGTAGACTCTATCAGGCTGTAAATTTGTTTATAGGAGGGAGGCTCTTTTTATCTCTATAGCACATGGCAGAAGTCCCACTAGATACTGTAACGGCTCTGAACCAGTTTACCAGCCCTCCTGGGTTGGCTATGCTCTACCCTCCCTCATTCATTCCCTTTGCACTATGATCTGCCTCAAGCTTCCCGAATCAAGAGTTGTTTTTTTCTGGTGTGTGGTTTTTTTGTTGTTGTTGTGGGGTTTTTTTAACACATGCTCAAGAAGAAATTGCATTTGTAAGCACTTTGACACGGAAGTCTGCTACACTCTGTGTGAAGGAAAGTTTCCTCAGAATAAGACCAAATTATTCAACAAGGTCATTTTCCTGAAGATGAAACTGAAGAGGTCATGCACATCCATCTTCCAACTACTGCTTTTTTAATAGATCTTAAAAAACCCACAAAAATCTGATACCTCTTGAGAACTTCCCACAGGAAAAAAAACCACACACATTAAGATAGTTGGAGACACACAAAATAATGAAACTATGAAGTTCACCTAAGGTTAGAATTGTTTGCTTCATACAAGAAAGTGGACCTATTTTGAAATGCCTGTTCAAAAGTAGAACTTTTGTGCATTTGGAGAGACTATGCTTAAAAGGAATTGCGTGGTATGACATTTAGGACAGTGCTGCAAGTTGCGATTGGTTTGCTGAGTCCTAGCAGCTGTTCTTCTGTTAAAATATTCACTTAAAAAGACACCTAGCCTTGAACTGAGTAAATGGAAGAGGCATGTAAGTGAGACTGACAATGAATTATAATTTACATCACTAATTTAAAGTGGTTTTTTTGCTAGCGAAAAGCCAACGAACAAAAATAATTCTAGCTATTCTACTTACACTCCAGTCTACTACATTACGAACTTCACAGCCTGTGCTATCCTCCTCATTTTCAGAATGACTTCTTGATCTTCATAATTTTAAAATAAATTTATTTAATTTCAAGGTATTTTCTCCAGTTTCCAAGTATATTTGAGTTCCTCCAATTTATCAGCATTCTTCCCAAACAACAGGAAAGCCAGCATTTATTATTCAAGTAGTAATTTCACCACCACACAGATGTGACTTTCACTGTTTGAAGAGGCCATGCCAGACTTCCATCTCTCTACCAAATACCCTCCAAATATGACTAGAAAGAAAGTAGTGAGGAAAAGCATTTGACCTTTCCTCAGAATGTGAAGAAGTGATTAAGTCAAGTCATATCTTAAGACTCATCCCTCAAGTCTTTTGGCTAGTGTCTTTCCACCCAAGGAAGTCAGCCCTTCTTTTAAGTTCTTCAACACAACTCAGCTGTATAAAAATTAAAAATAATGAAAACTCACATGCACAGAAGGGGTTTATAGTAGAGCTTCATTCCATAAATGCTTGTTTAGAGATGCTCACATTTCCTTCTTAATACCACATCTTGAAGTCTTGCATCTCACAAACTGTTACTTCAAACCAATACTAGTTTCTACTCAAATACCAAAAAAGTACAAGCTTAGCCAGAACATACAGGAAAAAGATTCAAGAGATAGATGTTCAAGCAACTAGAGACCAACTACTCGATTTAATGATGCTGTCAACTCATAAAAGCCACAATATGCTTGCAGAACATCTCACTTGTGAGGTGGAGTCAACCAACCAGGGATACTGTTCTACCTTGTGAGCCACAGTGCCCGCTTGAGATATAACCTTGGGATAACCTTCCTGCTTCTAGAGCAGGAAACCCAATCATTTGTTTGTTTTTTTTTTCCTGAAGGCAGGTGCAGCACAAGAATGTACAACATAACTGAGCATGCACTGGCTAAATGAATTACATCAGCTTGGAAAACTAGCATGTCATTTAACAGAGCAGTAAAAGAAGCTACAGCCAGTATTTTTACAACATACTCAGGCAACAGGTAAAGAAAGGTACACGGTCATCATACAGCTTACACAAATGAAAAAGCATACTATGCCATATGGATGTTGTCTTTATGCCCAGCTTGGTTAGCTGTATGGTAAATAGCTTTGAAACAGCTATTCTTTGTATCTTTTATAACCCTCATTTGTGAGCTGTATTACAGAGTAGCTTTTCCTCAGCTATTTTATCTACTTGTGGCAAGACAAGCACTTGTGCAGATGCACTGTGAAAGGTATCACGAAACTGATAAGGGCTAACATTAACCCAGGCAAGAAAGATTAGTCTTAATCCTCCATCAGCTCACAATAGGATTCACCACATGGTCCCACAGAACTTTGTGCCAGCACAAGTAATGAAAGGTGCAGGTAAGACCATTTCAGAATTGCTCTAAATGGTTGTTGCAATTAGAAGAAACTACAGCATTAACCTGAACTTCTTGCCAAAAAGTCTAAATGTGCTACAGCCGATTTGAGGCTCCCACTGGCAGTCTTTTTCCCTTATTAAAATTTAGCAGTTGTCTTTACTAGTGGAAAAAGTGTACTTTTTATTACCTTAGGTTCACTTGCTCCCATGAATCCTTTTTAGTAGGGAGCAACCTAGCTGCACACTTTTATTCACACTTGCTTCTCCATTTCCACACCTCTCCATGATTTCCACACTTTTTTTCAAGCTGCCATTGTCTACAAACAGAAGCTGTTCCTGGCCTCAGAACCAATTTTCTGCAAGAACTAAAGCACTTACAAAACCAATTACTTGATAGATTAAAGGAGGAGAGGAGCAGGAGAAAGGTGAGGATGAAACCACTGATGTGATATCATCTGCCATTTTCCACTCCATTCATTCTTTTTCATGTTTTATTGTAAGTACAGCTAAGGACAGGAATAAAAATGATGCCAACATGCTCCTGTATAGACTCCACACAGCATAAAAGCCGTAATACATCCTTCTCTGCTCTTACAAATCTCTGGTCCAAAACCTGCAGTGACTACCTGCAAAACGACAGCTCAGTTTCCAAATTTATGCAAACTTTGGTGCCTCAAAAACTAGAAATTACAACACTGCACTACAAGTTTAGAGGCACACACTGCTACTGGTTACAGGTCATCATTGGCTTGCACCTAGGCCCAGAGTTTAGTTACAAGTGATGAGTTTGCCAGTTTAAGAATACAGCAGATTCTCCTACAAACTGCGTATCTCAAGTGCTTCATCAAGCCAACCAAAATAAATGCAAGCTGAATAATCACTTCTATTCTAAGAGAGTTAACGTCATTCCAAAACCTCGTATCTGCATATCTTTAAGGTGAAGATAATAAAAACAAGTAAGTTATTAGAAGAAATCTAAAACTGTAACATGTCCATTTAGAAATAAAACCTTTTTATTAACATCTACTATTAGACATCCTTACCAAACAAAGTATCAGACAAAGGGTCAAGCACTTCATGCTTGAGAATTGCAGGTGCTTGTGCACAAACTCCATCACATTCAGGATATGCTTCAACCAGTTTGGGCTTGTGAAATAAGGAAGCAGTTCAGCTACTTAAGTACAAGTTACAACAGAGGCAGAATCTTAAAGTAACTGAACATGCTTCAGGTTCAGTGCTTGCATTATATATTACTTAAATAGGTAACAGAACTGGAGTTGAACAATACTTCAACATTTAATCAAATTAATTTTTTTTTTTTGGTGTCCCATTGGTACCCTGAAGTTTGATCTACAGAAGGGTGCCATTGCATTTAAAGTCAGTGAAACAAGGCTAGTGCATTACATGAAGAATATGGTCTCAAGGTTCTCAGGTGGGCACCAAAAGTTGACAGGAGACTATTCTGCATTACTGACTCTGGTGTAAATAGTATCTCATCTCTCAATGAGATGTGAAGAGAATAGATTCCTCAGTGTCTGAATAGCATGCTTGAACCACACCACTGACCCACAGATTCAACCAGCAGCAATAATTCTGGCTGGTCTACATTCTTCAATTTGTTAGGCAGTTTTGAGTTATATTTAATCTACTTTGCATTTCTCATTTATTACATGTTATTTTGGTAGATCCTTACCAGATTAATATTGTATGTTTTACATGTCAGATCATCCAAGCTCTGGTTCTGCAGCTTTTCTGTTATTAGTGTTACCATGGTAGTTGTTCCTTTTCCACTGCTCTCACAGAAGTGTTGGAGGCTCTTCGGTCTCTTGTTTCAATACTCATGAGCCATTTCTGGTTTGGTTTAAAGTCTTGAGATTTATGCTTTCATCTTCTTGCCAACGTTTATTTCCAAATGCTGTCAGTGTATCATGTCTTATTTGCTGTAAAATTGGGGCAGAAAAGGGAGAAAGTCAGAAAAATTGTCATGTACATCGTAATTAGTGTTGTAACAACACATGTTTGGACCACTCATTCGTGCAAGTATACCACCCTAATCTGAAATGCCGGGCAATAACATTGGTCACTCTTCTCTATTCAAGAAAGAATACTCCTATTGAGATTGCATTGATTGCAACTTCAGGAGGGAGATGCGACTCATACATAGTAGAAATCAGGATGTTATTTGGCCATTTCCTACTATTCAACCCATTCTACCTAGGACTTTTACCCAAGGCAGAAGACTTAGGCTTTCCCCCATTTAAAGTACTATGGAAGTTTTAGCCAGGTAATACTAGAACACCACATGAAACATACAGATACCTACCATAGTATTCTGTATGTTTGACACCATTTGCCATTTTAAGACATTCTACTACATTGTTTCATCATTAAACCCTTCTTAAAAAGAGTGGAGCAGTGGGTAGCTCAAATACTACATACACTTTCCAAACCCTCAGCTACTTTTAATATACTCCCTGTGTTCTTTCTTTTCTTAAAGGTTATGTAATTGCTACCTGTCAGCAAACACCAGATCTTAAACTTGTAAGCAGGACAGATTACCATACACGTAAAAGCATCACTGACAAAAGCCTAGATATCTTTATTCCATGAGCACTCATCTAAATCAAAAGCGCTAGGTTCATCAGCTGTCTCTTTCTATCCTAAACATCCTCTGCATAATTTCTTCCCCTCTCTCCCTTCCCTCAGGATCAGTGACTGCTGCAGTACCATTCCTCATTGTCTTCCAAAAGTCTTTATTAGCTGGTTATTTTTACCACAGTAAACGGACCTCTGTTCTTTCTTCAACTCTGTCTCATTCTTCCAGTTCAAGAAGAACCAGAACAAAACCACAGGACTTCAGCTTCTTCATTTTCCTTCTTCTATCATCAAGTCTCTCATGCTCACCACAGTTCTCAAATTCACTTCCAGTTTTCAAAACCAAGTCTACATTAGTAGTAATTGTAATTTCTACACAGTACCTTCAAACTCCTCATAACTTTGCCTTACTGTGTTAACAAAAACATTTTTCTCAACTCATGCTGATGATCCATTAGTGACATGCATTAACCATTCTTGCTTATGATTTAAGGTGGTCAAGTATATTCAGTGACTGCTTAGGGAATGAAAAAGTGGAACAGACCCACACAAGGGTATTTCCAAATTTAAACAAGACAACATGAGCCTTGGGGAAGGAACACTGATGCTACTAGGACCAGTTCACCTCTACTTGCTAGGTTTTAAAGTCTACAATAAAACAAGAATAGCAGAAAATAGTAATTTTAAATGAACATTTCCATAAAATACTGCCTCTTTTCCACACTGCTACTTAGCAGCTGTTTAAATAACCAGTACCAGCAAGAAAAAAAAGCCACTTGAGCCCATGACCCAAGTTAAACCCACTTAAAACTAAGATATTAATAGTATTAATGGTAATGTTAGATTATCTTTTAAACCTGTTGCCTTTGAGTACATCCTCAAATATGATTTTCATACACTAACCATACACTATTTCACCTTCACAGAAGTCTGCTATGTAACAGCCTCCTTTACCCGAGAGCTGTCCCACAATCATAAATCTCTGCCCATCTTTCAGCCTCATTCCCATATCTACTTTTATTTGCTATACAATAGGATGCTTACAAGTGCTCCTCAATCATAAATAATGCTACTCAGGTATCTGCAGATAAAAAGCACTGGTCTGTTTTTACTGAATGTGTCCTTTCTTTCAGGAAAGCACCCAACAATTTGGAACATTTACCACGCCTTGTTCTGAAATTACATCAAGTCAAATATCAAAACCCACTCAAGTTCATACACTCACTGGTAAAAGTTGCATGTACCCATTTCAATGTGAGTATCTGCCAAAGCAAAGTGCGGTTCACGAAAAGCTATGCAAGTTTAAGGGCAAGCGTGTGAACAGAGCAGTATTTAGAGTAACGCTGTCAAACACTGTAATGTCCCTTTTAAACCTGGTGAAGTTTAAACCAGATCTAGAAATCCAGAATAGGAGTCCAAAGAAAGGTTGACTAGGGGGGGTCAGAAATTGTCCATATACAGATTGAAAACATACTGAAGCAGAGGAGCTTAGTAACTGGCACAAAGATTTTCAGATTCATTTTAAGGATTAATATTTCTATAACCAAGAGGCTACTACCAAGAACCAGCTGAAAAGTTTAATTACTTTTCTGTTTGGAAGGGCCATATAAGAATTTGTGTGGTTTTTTCCCTCAAGGAAAAAAGGAAATCCAATAAAACTACAAAAGACAAGGGAGGAACAAGGTTTTGATCTGTAATCAGTTAACTATAATGTAGTTATATTTTGCTTAGTTCTTCTAATCTTCAAATGTTTCACTGAAATTTTAAGTCAGCATAATACAAGTTAGAGCAAGGAGAGAATAAACAGCAGGATATTGGTCTTTAGTTAATGAACCAATACATTCCGTTGCATGAAAGGATAAAGGGGAGGCAAATGAAATCACAGAAGCATGGCATTTTCAGAATCAAGCTGAACTGTTCAGTTATCCACATTCTTATGTCCTACCAGCTACTGAAAGTAATATTTGAGTTGCAACCATTCAGGCCCTTTCTGACAGAGTGCAACCCAATCAGTTCTGAAACATAAGCAAAGTAGAAATTCCAAAAAGAGGTTCTCATTAGCAACTCACACACTTACCAACAATACTTTTTTAAAATGAGACATGCTCCATTGAGAAAGATTTTAAGTATGTATTTAAGGGCTACATGGGACAGAGGTAAAAAAGCGGTGTTAGCTAGACAAGCCTTCATATATCAGTTCCCAGTTTCTACTCCTCTCCCCATCAGCAAATTCCATTTCCCAATACCAAGCACAAACCCTAAGAGTAGGGGGTTTAGTTCAGATCAGAAGCATGCTTTGGAAATGAATTCCCTCCTCATCCTCCTTCAATGTGCTTTCTCTCACTGTTGACCAGTCTTGCCCAGAAATAATCCATTCCGAAACAAAGCAAGAAGGTACACTACAGCTACCTTTAGGTGTTTTGCATGCTGCATTAGACTAACACTGGTCCAAACTAAGCCACCAAGGTAGGCATACGCTGTGGACATCAGTACTAACTGTTTTACACTATAAATCTGTTCCTATCGGGCAGTACTCCTTGCTAATGATGACATAATGAATGTTTAAGTGGACAAAATGTTACCATCGTCACATTCCTACCAATGAAAGCCATTCTAGGTTATAGTTTGATAGATCTCTGCTGTCATTACAACTGCCAACACATTTCTTCTCTGGCTATTTGTCACCCACAGAGGTATGCCAGCACAAGTGTTTTTGCTACTACACAGAGAACTAGATCAAGGAATTTTTATAGTTGGATCAAAACAAAACACTTCCTTCTGTTTTCTGGGAAAGGTTGTTTTCTAGTTGGACTAGTTCCTCAGTCTGGTTTGCTGTGAACTGGACACAAATGCTTGTGTGGGCATACTGGGATGCTGACACTGCTTATCGAGGTATCTGTCTAACTACAGCATCAGGGAAAAAAAAAAAAGAAAAGAAAAAAGCCACACAAGAAAGCCAGTTGACATTAGCATTTCCCACACTGAGCCAGGCAGATTCTCCTGTAAGTAGGAATTACACATCCCCTTCCAAAGCATAGTTTGAACATGTTTTGCCCCTATTTTCTCTTTCCAATTCATATTCCTTTGACTAGTCAAACTTACCAGCTCAAAATGACCTGAAATCATCCCTGCAACCTCAGCACCTTAACTCAAAGTGATCAGAGTCTTGATTCACTTAGTTGAGCTATTTATATTCTACCAGGAATTGCTTCCCTCATCTTTGCTAATTAATATTGGCTGTTAGGAGACAAGAGATTTGAGTCACTCCAGCTTCACTATGCTGTTGTCATTTTAAAGCTTCATCAATATAAATTTTCAAGCCTTAGGCCTTCAGTACCTCCTAGAAGGTCCTTACACGACAGAAAACTCTTCATGGTATTTTCACATTTTGGGGGTTTTTTTGTATGTTTGTTTTAAGATCCTCTGCTGTGGTATGTATTTAATGCACCCACAGAGATAGTAAGCTCATTTGTTTATGTACTTTTTCCACCATGCTCTCTTTCCAGAGCTAGTTAAAGGCAGCTAACTTTCAGTCTCTCCTTGTCATGCCCCTCATGCTTATTAGGCTGAATCCCTCTTGGACTGCTTGGCACTTCAAACTAATTCGATTTTCAGTAATAGGAACCATTTGACCATCCTTGTTAGGGCAACGTGGATCCTGCTAAATTTCAGCTGCCTCACAGAATAGATCTTGGCACGATCAAGTTCTGCCTACCACTGTGAGTACATGCCCTGCTTTCTATACAACCTGTAAGCATACCCCAAAGACACACACCTCTGCTGTCACCAAGTCTCTACAGGTAGCAGCTGAGCCAGGCAAGCAAGTTCAAACACGAAGATTCTCCAAGCCTTGAGGTAATCATAGAAGCCCTTGGAGTTCCAAGTTGGATGAAGTCCTACAAGATTATGGCCATCTTTTCCTTAGCGCACCATCCTTTATGGAGCCTCATTAGGTAGAAGAGTGAGAAAGCTGAGCCATCCAAGATAAACAGGCATAACAAAAGATGTTAGTCAGTCTCTGTCCTGGGAGAGACTTAATCTTACAAGGATCTCCTTAAACTCAGGGGTAGCGGTGAGAGGTGGGGGGAAGAGAAGTTATTTTCATTGCTGAAAGGTAGACTAATGAAAAGGAATAAAATAAATGGAATATAAAAATCAAACTTCAAATGCAAGCCAAAGCTAACACTCCTCACAGTTGGAGAATGAGCTGTGATGGAATCAGTATCACCATTATCTTCAATTTAAAGTTCTGTTCTATGACACATTCTGAAACTTGAGAAAAGTAATTATTATTCTATCTCTATAGTACTACTAAACGGAGGTTTTATTTCTTTAAAAGTTTAGACACAAGTAGTAATGACTTGTAAA